CTTGGAATGCAGAACTGAAGAACAACACAACAGAGGTACACGATCTTAGGTTTTTACTGGTATTTCAAACATCCAGAACTAGGAAAATGACCGCACATGTAATCTCTCTTGAAAAAACACTAAAAATGGTACTTTATGCTATCGCATGCAACTTGGCTTATGTTGACCGGCCATCGCACGTGCATGTCCAGTGCTGGCCATTCGGAAAATAACAGTGCACTTTCAATGAGTACATTTAGCCTGATTCAACAATCTATAAAAATAAGAATGTTCCCTCGGGATAAAAAAAACTATTTAGCTGCATCGCGTCATTAGGGAGTCTAGGTACTGTACCATGTGTTTGTACACAAAAATGATCCACGCACATGCACGTCGCAAGTACTCTGTCACGATAAAAAAAATGGGGGGAGTAAAAGCTGACACATCAAAACTCTGCAGCTCATGACAACTACATTTTGTATTTCCCAGAGGTAAAATAAAAAGTGTGAAGTCTTGAAGAAATACTCAATCTATTTATATTTGATGGTGTGTTGCATGTTAATTTCCTTATTTTATGTGTTCATTATAATTTTATCGTCTGTATGTTGCTTGTTCTCGTTTACCTTTGTACAAAATAGTATACATTTTAATGCTTGGTCTTGGTCTTGAAGTCCAGGTCTCAGTCTTGAAGGAGTGGGCCTCGATCTTGGTCTCGGTCTTGATGTCGGTCTTGGTCTGGAAGTCCAGCTCTCCGTCTCGACCTGCAAAAGTCTCGGTCTCGGTCTTGGTCTCGGTCTTGAAGGAGTGCGTCTTGGTCTTGATCTGCAAGTCCAGGTCTCGGTCTCGACCTGCAAAAGTCTCGGTCTTGAAGGAGAGGGTCTTGAAGGAGTGGGTCTTGGTCTTGGTCTCAGTCTTGAAGGAGTGGTTCTCGGGTCCCAAATGCCTTCGTCTTTGTCTTGGACATCAAGGTCTCGGATACAACACTAGTATTCACAGTTGAAAATGCCCGCTGCGATTTGATAGTGTCCGCAGCGTAAAAACGTGTTGGCTCCTCGATATCAACCGGGATACGAGACAGTTTAATCCATTCCTACCAGCCAGGACGTTGTCTGCACCGCGGCACACAGAACTCGCCACGCGCACGCCAAGTCCTTATAAGGATATTCTTCTTATTCTTGGAGCGAGTACAAATCCCTTCGTAACCAGGTCAAGTACAAAACAAGGAAACGTTATTCTGATTACCTGAAGGAACTTGCTTCAAATTTTGCTGAAAATCCTAAGCGTTTCTGGTCTTTTGATAGCTCAACTCGTAAATCTTCCACTCTGAACGTCCTCCACGTAGAAGGTGAAACCATTTCTGATGACCCGTATAGTGTTGCTAATGCTTTTTTGAAAAGCTTTCAAACCATTTTTTCCGTTTCTGAGGCCCTGAAATTCCCACATTGTGATCATTACAGCTCTGATTTCCGTCTCACTACTGTTATGACTTCTGAAACGCTTGCTTAAGGAACTCCCGACCCATGAAGGAGTGGATTTGACGACATTCCTCCTCTCCTCCTTAAGGTTTCAGCTGACTCCATAGCTCTTCCATTGTCTAAGCTTTTTGATGCTTCACTTTCTACAGGGCAGGTCCCTTCAGAGTGGAAGATGATAAATGTTGTTCCAATTTATAAATCTGGTATTAAGCATGATCCTAGTAATTACCGACCTGTTTCTCGCTGTTCAACTGTCTCAAAATGCCTTGAAAAAAATTGTAGCAAATCATTTAAGCGAACACATGCTTACACGTGGTATGTGTCAGATACCCAACATGGTTTTTTGCCCAAATGCTCATGTATTACTCAGCTCTCTTCATCGTATCATGATTGGGCAGAAACTTTGAATTCACGGAAATCGCCTAGGATTGATGCCATCTTCTTAGATTGGGCTAAAGCCTTTGATAGAGTTAACATTAATATTCTACTTGATAAATTGCATAAATATGGTGTGTGCTGTTCCCTCTTGAAGTGGGTCTCTTCTTACTTATCAGGTCGCATGCAGACAGTCCAATTTTTGGGAAGTTTTTCGGACTGGGCTCATGTCCTTTCAGGTGTCCCTCAAGGATCTGTCTTTGGACCAACACCGTTCAACGTACTTGCATTTGATCTTCCATTCTGCATTCAATCAAGTATCAGACAGTATGCAGATGACACTGTTGTTTTTAGAAAAATCTTCAGTCCCTCGGATGTATATTACAAAATGATTTGACATGTTTTGACAATTGGTGCTCTTTAAATAGAATGAATCTTAATGTTATTAACAAGTGTAAAGTAATGTGTCTGTCTCGTTCCAAATTGTTTAGTCGTCCTAGTTATGTCTTGGGTTCCCACGCACTGGGGACTGTTTACTGTTATAAGTATCTTGGTGTGACTATATCTACTGATCTGAGCTGGAAGAAGCATGTTGACTTAACTGTGTCTAAAGCAACTAGAATGTCAGGCTTTGTCAATAGGTTGGTTATTTCTAAAAATCCCCAAATCCAAATGAAACTGTTTTGTGCTCTTATTTAGACCTATTATCAAATATGCTTGTCCGGTTTGGTTCCCTGGTCTGGTTTCTTTGCAGCATTCCATAGAAAGTGTTCAACGTCGTTTCACTCGATCTTGTTTAGGTTTACCCCGTAGTCACATACCTGGATTTCACATTAACAACTTAGATTATAACCCTCAGTAGGGGAAACGGCCTCTTTTGGCGAGTCCATTGGAGCTAATTAACGTTTAATGCAACGACTACTTATCATATCCTACCCCTGTACATGCTGAAAAACCTGGTTTAGTCACTTTACAACCAGGGCCTCCCATAACCAGAAAAAATGCAAAAAATCCAGCCGGCCTTGCGCCAGCCTCCAGCAATTCCCATAGGGCTGTAAAGTGGACCCTTGTGTACAATCTAATGGGTTGTTTACAAAACGGAGCCTGGGGCAGGCAGTGGAATGTTTTTTATCAGTGAGAGCTGTCTGGAACTTTGGTTCCCTGGTCTGGTCTTTTGCAGCATTCCATAGAAAGTGTTCAACGTCGTTTCACTCGATCTTGTTTAGGTTTACCCCGTCGGCACATACCTGGATTTCACATGAACAACTTACATTATACTGCTCGTCGGATCCAACTGGCTTTACCTCCCTTACTCTATAGGCTGAACTTTTTGCCAGTGGTTTTCATTGCTAAATGTCTGTACAAAAGGTTTCATGTTAATATTGAAAGTCTTTCCGTAGTCAATACTAGGCATCTTGACAGGGTCAAGTTTCTTCCCTTTTCCTCGTGTACACAAGCTTTTTATGACTCGTTATTTGTCAGATTCCCAAGATTGTGGGACACTTTACCCATGGATGTCACAACAGAAATTGTTTTCAGTCTTAATTCTTTTATTTCAAAGTTAAGAGACCATTGGCTGTCTCCTGAGGCTAATATTGTCTGGTGCCATAATATTGATCCTGTATTTTTACTGCACATTCCATTGTTTATTTATCTAGTTTTATTTTTGTGCATTTCTGTATGTTAAGTCATTTTTTATCAACTGTTTTTCTTGTATTTGTTGACATTTTTATGGAGACCCTCTCGACAGTGATTGAGTTCGCTTTTAGGCCATCCATCAGGGGTGTCAGCAAATATTGTTCCTTGTTGATATGTATCGGTTTTTGTATTTTGCGTTGGTTTTTTGTACCCTGAGAAATAATAAATGAATGAATAAATGAATGAATAACTACTTGCACAAGAAATATACCACACAGTGGACGGGGGTTTGTTCGAGAAAATGAAAGTAAAATTCGTGACCCAAATTCCTCGACATTTTTCGTATATTGACTTCTTTTGACTCTCTGACTAAATGGTGTGTATGGATGGGAATATAAATATGTGCTCGGTCGGTCTTAAACTGTCAGTTAAGACCGGATTAGGAGAATTTGAACGCTGATGATAATGCCCTAGCCTGCAGCACTGACGTTAGTCGTGTCCGATCTCCTGAGCCAGTCTTAAACGCACGTTTAAGACCGACCAAGCACATATTTATTCCCTTATGATAAAACAAAGCACAAGATTCACGTAGGCCCTAATCACAGTCCTTGCAATCGTAGCAACAGCAGTGCGCAGAAGCCCTGAAAGTCACAGTATGTTGTCGTCATTGTGTCAACTCCTCTACCGAACTTCGGTGGAGATGTGTCTTCGCATCATCTGCGCATGTTCTGGATGATGACGTCAGGCTGACGTCTTTAGGTGGGTTGATATGACAGACGCGCAGTCCATGTTTTGTCAGAAAGAGTTATAATGACTAGTGACTTGACTGGAGTCACAACTTTTGGCGATGAGCCCTGACGGGTACATCAGCCTTATACCGTCACCCCCGACCCCGACGTGACCCTGACCGCCACCCTGTGGTCCTGCAACATGCGAGGCTAACTTAAAACCGAAATTCAAATTCATTTTTCAATTCCTGGCTTCATCGTTGTTCAGGTGAGTTTTATCACGCGGCAAATGTGGCGTGACCACGTGAATTAATGTAGCTCGACCGAATGTAAGTTTTTAAAATATGCCAAAAGTGACTTTCATTCTTGTAGTTATTTATTATATTGTGCTCGAATATTTGTGATACAAATTGACTCGACTCGATTGCACACCGTGACTCGAGTCGGCACAATTTCCTAACGACTCGACTTGACCCAAGTCACAAAACTGAGTGACCCGATAACCTTCCAAACTTTGCAAAACATTTTCTGCCCGTTTGCCCAATTTTCACATTCTCAACTATGCTCCTTCCAGCGTCCATATTTTGCCTTTAAAAAAGTTGAGCCGATTTTAGCTTCCAAGCTGCACCTCGACTACACTGCGTACTGGCCGTTTTCAATGTGCAATGTCCGTCTATTGTGCGTGTTAGATCAAAAGAGCTCTCTTTTGATATGAACTTCTCAAGGTTAACTTTTAAAAGTAATAAAAGTCATTAAATCACTCAGAATCACTATAACAAAAAGATGTGTCCTGACAAATGGTCCATGAAAATTCCAATAGAAAAGATATCTATTTATTATAGCTGCATGCATGTGATATGTTGCATATTTTAATGAATGGGTTGTCCGCCTCGACCAGAAGCACCCCGTCATTGGAAAGAGCCATATTGGTCGGTAGTGCTTATTTCATTGGTAGCGAATTAGCGATGCTACCGTAACGCCTGCACTCCCTTGTCGCTCGTGAACCAGCGAAGCTCAGTTCCGACCAAAGGAGCCTCTGTTACTAAGAAAATTGTGCTCTCCTTGGTCTATATCGAGATTCCCAGGGAACCGTTTTGTATATGCTATGTGAATAGTTCTGGTGACACGACTCTACCACCCGTCATTTTATCCCACAAGTTAACCATGCTGGTGTCTTTCACCAAGTTTCGCATGCGAAATCCTCGATGTCGTGGATTGTCCTTGCGATAGTGAACAAGTCTGAACTCTGTCTCGGGGTCAAGGGTCAGCGTGTCACCCCCGATCTTGACCCCGTGAATCTTGAAGTAGTGAACGTTGACGGGGCGGATGATGCACTTGTCGCGGCCGCGATTCTCCGGCGTGGCGCTGGGCACCCGCCATGGGTTCCTCTCGAACACCGTCCTAGCCGCCACCACTTTCCTTTTGGCGTTGAGGGGCCGACCGAAGAACCAGTTCCGCATCCGTATGGTGGCCATGGACGCGAGGCGAGGCGAGGAGAGGTAGTCCGTGATCCTGGTCCGGTTGGGGTCCATGGGCTGGACGAACTCATCCACGTCGACCTTTAGCACCCACTTCGTGTTATGGCGATGGCGCCACAAACAGTCATTTTCGTGGGCTATCTGTACCTCGAGGTATGTTTTGTCCGGGCTTGGTGTGTGCGCCCACGGTACTAGTGTCACAAACCCCGTGCTGACGTAATCCTCGAGATCTTGGTGCATGTTGGAACTTGGGTCGTTGTCGTAGATGTAGACATGCTCCACACCCAGATTCTTATAGTAGAACATCCAGTCAGGGATGTACTTCGCCATGTCTTTGACCATGGTGCAGAGGGTGAGTTCACGCCTCACCGGCTCCGTGAGGCACACCGGCACGCCGGTGTAAGCGTACCTTGGATCCCTCGCCAGGCGAAAGTTCACCGTGAACCGTATGATGTGCCGCCTGCTAATTGCGTCTGCGAGGCCACGCGGAATCGGGCAAGTGATGACCACGAGGTACTGGGGGTAGCCGTTGCCGAAACTCCGGTAGTCCCTCACGATAGGGTCGGTGAGGCTTGCCTCCCCGTTGGGAAACTCGCAGATGAAGGTCTCCGTTTCCCAGGCGTCGTCTCGCCGCTTGACGCCCACGAAGACCAGCTCGTTCCGCGCAGCCTCTGCGAAGGCCGAATGAATGACGGGGAGTCCGTTGCAGGTAAGTTTGTCGCGGAGGTAGCATCCTCCGCCGAACTCCGGGAGGTCCCTTGCCCCTGAGCTGTCGCACATAGAGTCGAAAAGTCCAATGGGCATGAGAAGCTTCCGCCCCGTCAACTTGACCCAAGAGCGTGCACCTGTCTTGGCAACTAGCCGTTGGTCTGAGGCAGATAGAGTCCAGCAAATTAACGAAACGGCCACGCAGACACCGACCGCCGTGGCACCCTTGCGAATTTTGGAGCGACGCATGGCCAGGATTGAGCCTCAGCCAGCATAACGTGAATCACGAGAACATGGAGTCTTCCCGAGATGAACGGGTGGAGTTGTCTTCCCAAAGTTTATTTTTATCAATCTTGTGCTTCGACAAACCACAGGAGTCCGTTTAGTATCCGCGCTGTACCATCTCGGCCTGGATGTACGAATTTCAGCTGTAACGAAAAAGGAAGGGTGTCTTGAGAAAAGGTGTTTGGGAAAGAAAAAGCCATTTAAGATATTTTCATTATGGTGATTCGACTGTCCTTAGTATGCTTCCTAATATCATGTTAACGAAAAAGAAGAAATCACGTGAGTATATGAAGTGCAGATAAGCCAATTATGTGACACTGTGCTGGAAAGGCTTAGTGTTTCTTTGCAGGAATATTTACATTAAAACATTATATGATATTTGCTTGTCTTGATATTATTTTTATCATTCTGATCAAACAGAGTTGAGCCCAGAATAAATGGCCCCTCTTTAAACTGTCCAATTACGAAACCATTCCCAGGAAATGAGTAGTACGCAAAGAGTTTTGTAGCATTGACTTTGACCTGAATTCAGTGACAATTTTCAAGAAGTATCGTTGAAATAGTTCAGTGTATTGAGCTATGTATAAAGACTGACATATAGTGTTATCAAGACAATTCATAGTAGTCGATAGTGTAACCTTTATCATTGATGACTGACAACAAGCTCAAGCTGTAGGTGCTACCTATATAATAGGTTTTGCAACAAATCTGTTGAAAGATCTTGAAGGTATCGTTATTCTTCGGCAATTTGCTCTACCCTATAGTGACAATTTTGAGGGATCGAGCACATACCCAGACTTGCCACTGATTCTCGGTGAAATCTAGTTTTGGTGTCCTTCAGTATCTTTGCGCGCTTTGGGTCCTCAGCCCGGAAGACCCACAAAGTAGTCGGATGGCAATTCTTTCTTGTAACGCTTCAAAATTCCATTATCTTCAGTCATGATCTAGTGAGTCAGAACGTACGGTGACCCTCGAGGCAGAGCACCTGCACCAAAGCGCAACCGATCCAGTCCACTTCCCTGCTCCAATAATTCGAGGCCTTCGGGAAGTTTTGTTCTCGTGATTTTCAGGAATGTTCTGGAGCATTCCGGTTTCCACTTGATTAAAGATTTTTGCGAGCGACGGAAGTATAACTGAAAACCTGAACACTCAAATTTCTTGTCAATATTCCAAGATTTTCGTCAGTTTCACGAGGGGCCAGGGCTTGTCATAACGATCGCCGTTAATTTCAGCGGATTTCATTGAGGGATGTATTACCTGAAAGCTTTCGTGATAACAACTGTTACCTTCGATGGGAATTGAGTACAGTGTTCCATCTCTCACAGACACTGAGAAATCCCTCAACCTTAGCCTCTAAAACCCAATGATTTATTTCTAATTAAAGAATATTAAGATCTCTTGATTTGCAGTAGTCTTACCTTTTTCTACGCTCCCAATTTACCTGGTAGATTCGATCCTTCGCAGACCGGCTTTGTGTAGTACATGGCCTTAATCAGACGCGTTGTGGCGAGAGAAGTAAATGCATGCCGTCGTCGGAAATTAAGCATTTGTTCGTTTACCCGTACGCAAAGTCCAAAGGTTGGTATGAAAAGCATCCCCTTCAACGCGAGGTCTGTATCTTTGACCTATCACGGCTTGTGCAAACAAGTCTGCAGTGATGCTATGGGTGGTAAAAAAACTTAACAGTGTCCCACAAGAAAGGGAAGGAATGTAAGGTGGGTCTTTATTGTCGAGTTCCCGCTGAGCACGAACGCCTTATACGGATATCACTCATTTTTGCCTGAAGGGATAGATCATCATGTGCTACAAAGTCAAATTTAGCGGGGAAACTATCGACGTATTATCTCAGAAAATAATAGACATTTTCAGACCGGTCTCGTGGGGTTAACATTGTGCACAGGCTATCAAGTCCACGGAACTGTATCCAAAATCCCGACAAGTTTCTCGTAGTCCGGTTCGGGAAACACATAAAGATTGGGACATGCTCATATTTGCAGTAACTAAAGGAGTTATGTATGGTGGGTTTGGTGGCACTTCACAAACAGTGGCATAACTACGGGGGGTGCCCCGGCGGCGGCGGATGCCCATGACCACTCCGGTGCCCCCTCCCCCAATTTGATAGCTGTGAATATTCTGTTACATTCTATGTAGCTACAGCTCACGTGCATGCCCACATGAAAATATGTTAGTCTGGTTCCCAGCCTAAGATCTCTAACGAATCCTGATAAAAAATCCTGATTCGTAGAGTAGTCAGAATCATCGGGGCTGGTATCCAGACTAAAAAAAAAAGTGCGCACCCAGGGTCATATGCAGCAAAGTATGAGACGGAGAGAACCCCCCCCCCCCGCTTTGTGCTGGTCATTGTCTCGCAGGAATCTAGGGAATTCCTTTCAGACATCTTGGGGGGATGTGTTAAGTAACAATAGTCTGGAATGTGTATAGGGATTGGACATGTTGGGGGGGTACCCCTCGGTCTCATTTCTTGCTAGGTATACCCAGGGTGCAGTGCCCGGACATGTAGCCTTAGTTACGCCACTGTTCACAGATGATTACTACAGCTATAGGTTCGAATCCAACAGATCAGTGAATTTTAAACGCTTACAAATCAAAACAGACGGTTTCAAATTTATAGAGTCTACTCGGCCAATCCTCTTTCTTGTCACGCGGTAATGACGATTTGGTTGTACACTACAACAGTAGTAAACATAGGGCCTATAAGAAGTGCCAATTCTCCACCCATTCTTGCCTGCGCCGTGATCGTCTAGTGGTTAGGACATTGCGTTGTGGTCGCAATAACCCAGGTTCGAATCCTGGTCACGGCATGTTTTCTGTTTTGACAAGCTGTATACAAAGAAATTAAAAGTATTTATAACTCACCTGGTTTTTTTTTTTTGGCATCCTTTTCAGTGATAAAAGGAAACAGTGGCCAAAATCCAGGTTTGAATCCCTGTCATGACAAAGTAATTGTTTTCTTACGTTATTTTTCTCCTGAATTTTCCCCGTATGACGGGAAGCTTGGAAGATGTTTCACTTTTATATTTCCCTAGTTCTGATTGCCACCAGTGCCGAATTCTAGAATTGATATTGTCAAGCGATTTTAATTCCGTAGCTTCAAATACACTGACTTTGTTTCCAAAAAATGCACCTGTCAACTTAATCAAGACCGAACCTGCAAACATGGGTCACCTTTGTTTAGTCGGTTAACCCATCAACCCAGAACAACATGAAGAGCCTCGCGTGACTTGCAATCATGACTCATGGGCAAGTGATGGTGAAATTTTGGCTTGTGCAACAATCACTATTATGATTATTTCCCTTTCGTTTGTGTCAGCGCTGTGATCGTCTAGTGGTTAGGACATTGCGTTGTGGTCGCAATAACCCAGGTTCGAATCCTGGTCACGGCAGTTTTTTTTTTACCCTTTCAAATTAAGACCAAATGACGTGTTCAGTATAACAGCCCATTGCCCTCATTTCTAGTACGAGCCGTGATCGTCTAGTGGTTAGGACATTGCGTTGTGGTCGCAATAACTCAGGTTCGAATCCTGGTCACGGCAGTTTTTTTTTACCCTTTCAAATGAAGACCAAATGACGTGTTCAGTTTACCAGCCCATTGCCCTCGTTTCTGTACGAGCCGTGATCGTCTAGTGGTTAGGACATTGCGTTGTGGTCGCAATAACCCAGGTTCGAATCCTGGTCACGGCATGTTTTCTGTTTTGACAAGCTGTATACAAAGAAATTAAAAGTATTTATAACTCATCTGCTTTTTTTTGCATCCTTTTCCGTGATAAAAGGGAAAAGTGGCCAAAATCCAGGTTTGAATCCCTGTCATGACAAAGTAATTGGTTTCTTACGTTATTTTTCTCCTGAATTTTCCCCGTATGACGGGAAGCTTGGAAGATGTTTCACTTTTATATTTCCCCAGTTCTGAGCGGCCACCAGTGCCGAATTCTAGAATTGATATTGTCAAGCGATTTTAATTCCGTAGCTTCAAATACACTGACTTTGTTTCCAAAAAATGCACCTGTCAACTTAATCAAAACGGCGAACCTGCAAACATGGGTCAGCTTTGTTTAGTCGGTTAACCCATCAACCCGGAACAACATGAAGAGCCTCGCGTGACTTGCAATCATGACTCATGGGCAAGTGATGGTGAAATTTTGGCTTATGCAACAATCACTATTATGATTATTTCGCTTTCGTTTGTGTCAGCGCTGTGATCGTCTAGTGGTTAGGACATTGCGTTGTGGTCGCAATAACCCAGGTTCGAATCCTGGTCACGGCAGTTTTCTTTTTTACCCTTTCAAATGAAGGACAGAAATGACGTGTTCAATTTAACAGCCCATTGCAAACGTTTCTGGCACAAGACGTGATGTAGTGGTTAAGACCCAGATTGGAATCCTGGTCAAGGCATAACTGCTTTCCATTTTAAAAAGAAAGAAATGTTTAGTTTAACAGCAGATTAAGTGAGTCAGGACTGATTCCTGACTGAATTCACTGATTCAGTTAAATTCCGACTGATTCACTGACTAACAGATTCCTGACCGATTCGATTTCTGTTTTTTCTTCCATTACTAAACTTGTCATTTACAAAAGAAGTATAAAGTGTGATAAATACACTGCATTATCCACATTTAAAGAATGCACAGATATTTGTTTGTCAACGGCTGTGGCAGAATCAGAATTGTGACATTCTCGCACTACTTACTCGAATTTTAACGCCTATCACCCTGCGTGAATTACTCCACCAAATATCCCCCAATCTGTAGAACTGGAAATAGCTTGTAGTTCTTGGAAGAGGAAGGGCATGAGGTTTTGAACATTCTTTGATAATTCCACATCACATTTCTGAAAACATAGAGTAGAACAGTACTTGTTGCATCCCCCCCCCATCTTTAGGGGTTGCGTCCACGCCTACTCTCACAGAATTAAGTGCTCACAGGAGGGCGCGATTTCCAAAATTAAAGTGGGACTTGGTTGTCATTGTCAACAGGTCAGTGATATACATGTACATGTAGATTCTCCCACCGTCATGACCTTTAAGGCACCGCCTCAGGTGAAGTTAAGATTATTTATTGCCTCCTTTTAACCTTTCACTGGACATTGTTTTGTGGCTGGCCCGGTTAAATTTAAGCCCGTCTGCCTATTTTGTTTTAAAGTTACGCATCAGCTGATCATGCTGACCGTGGCTGATTGATGATTTCAAGTAGGGCCTACGTTAGACTCCTACTTCCAGAACTGTACCTCGTAGTTGAATCACGCCTAGGCCTATGTGACAGTGTAAGCTTCAGGTTTTGGGCTATGTACAAACTCGCATAAGGCCACCAAAGAAAAAGATAGTTTAGCATTAGTTGTATTTGCAAAAAACGAGGAGGGAGGAAGTTTTTCGTTTTTTTAAATGTACTTCGATATGCATGCTGAGTGATCTGGACTGCCGCAACCCACAGGCGTATATAAAAAAATCTGGACTCGCAATGCCCTTAGTCAGCTTATAGAGATCATTGAATCCACTAGCAGCCATTTTACCGAGCCGAATACAAAACCCACCTTTGTTCTTCCTGGCGTCAATAGAAGCGAGCCAACCCGTGTATTTGTATTCGGCTCAGTAAAATGGCCGCTGGTTGGCTTCTATTTCATGCAAAGGCGTTGCAAGTCCAGGTTTTTTTATATACATCCCTGCCGCAACCACGGAATGAAAGTGCCATATGTTCACTTTAGACTCGTGCACAGAAGTGCACATGACATTGTGTGTATGCACTCAGGTCCCAGGTTGTGCGTGCACGAGGTTGTGTGGGCGTTGTAGGAACTACGGGGGACAGCTAAGCATATCGGAAAAAACAACTTTTAAAGGAAAAAAATGCAGCAAGATTTTTTGAGGCGGGCGCTGATGCTAAACTAATTATTTCTATCATGTGGCCTAAACACATTTTGTCTGTTTCGATTGTGCCAATTTACTCTGCCATCACAGCGCTCTATTTGTGCAACAAAATTTCATACATGTACATGTCTTCTCGGTGAAGTTAAATGTCACATGGGGAGGTTTATTCACCTTATACATGTAAATCTTCTTTAAAAATGGTGAAATTCTTGAGTATTTTGCCTATCCACACTACAGAAAATCAGCAGCAAGTACTCTCCATAACTGTCAGCTGTGTGACAGCTTGACCAGTCGGAACACAGCTCCTATCTTTTCCTTGTTTTCCTGACCCTTTCAAAATGAAAGCGAAGCTATGATTGGTCATTGGAATGGAAGCAAATTGCGCCAAACAGAGTGTGCCTTTCATCTGTGGTTGACAGGAAAACAAGAAGGAAAATATAGATACCCAACCCCCCCCCCAAAAAAAGTGGGTGGGATATACATGTATACTCCCGTCCTCCAAGGGATTTACGCCCATGATCAATTACATGTATTTGGGATGTTTTCAAGACTTGCCACGACTGAAGCTGGGCTTGGATGCTTTTAGATCTCTTCATGGGACCATTTAAATGTGTACAGCCCAAGCAGCATGTTCACATATTGTTTGCTAGTGTACAGAAACAACTTTGCTATTTTGTTACGTTGTTTTATGTTGGCCTGCTGTTCAAGTTTGACATACTGTGGAATTGAGTGAACCACATCAAGATTTCCTGCATTGTGGGAATGATGAACTGATACTTTTTAGCTTATTTCATTTCAAAATCGTGCTGTAACAGATATTGGCAGAATCCTAGGAATTGACATCAGCCCACATGGGCGGCGGGGCGTCCAACTCCAACAGGTCATCTCAAAGGAAGCCCCAAAGGTCGACCCAAAAGAGGGCCAGCCTCCCCGATCATGTGTTGGAAAAGCTGCAGGTGTGCCTGCTATCGCTGCCGTTTCCCCCTGGTGTTGTGGATGAGCCGGTCATCGACCGGGCTGCTGATTTAGCAGAACGGGTCGAGCTGCTGGAACCGCAAGTCATACTTACCAAAGGTATTGACCGGTTGAGCCCCGTTTTAAGTGAATGCGAAAATCAGTGTGGAACACAAAGGTTCTGAATAGGGCACGTCAGATGACTACCCTTGGAACTGTGGGGCTCCCTCTTCTGCTCGGAAAGGCAGAATGAGGAACCCATGTTACGGTTATAGCGGGGGAGGGGAACTCTTAAAGAAAAGAAAAAAAATGTAAGAAACACGATAAAAGAGGATAAAGGGCACGCAAAATTACTAAGCCCTAATTTTCTTGAAAAGCTTCAGAATTGACTCTTTTCCACTGCAGTGATTTGTGAAAGTTGAAGACCATTTCATTGGTGCATTTATCTCCGTCACTGGGCCTGCATTACATTGTCTCCTTGAAGGATTACTTTTTACAGTGGTGTATAACATTAGTGTAGTGCTATATACCCATTTGAATGAAATTATTTTGCAAAGGCAGGCCTTGTATGACATGTTTTCTGTAAGGCAACATGGGTAAAAATAAAGCCAGTCTAAGTAATCAGAAATAAAGGAGGGCACACTAAATATTAGACTGACAACATTTCAAATCATGGAAATGAAGTCAAATAGCTGTTTAACCAAGATACTAAGGTTATTGAAAAAATAATAAGTTGCCATGATTGAGTGGGTTAAGTTCGGTTTTTCTCCAGGTTAATGCATTTTGTTGTGGGTGGTCCTAAACTTTGCAAATGACTGTATTGTTTTATCAGTTTGCTGCTGATGAGTACTTTGATCCCGGAACAAATCCTGCCTTCCCCCTCCCCATAAAAAAATGGCCACGCCCATGCCATACATCGAGGGATATTAACCACGTCAACAATTCAATTCACTACTTTGAAGTGCATGTTAGTCACAGCTTTATAATTGCTTTCACATTGCACTTCTTCATACCTTGAGCACTGCTTGGCAGACAATTTGACATTTCAAGACACATATTTTCTCCCCAGATGTTAAAAACACAACATGCTATATCACAGCTTTATAGTTGCTTTCACATTGCACTTCTGCATACCTTGAGCACTGCTTGGCAGACAATTTGACATTTCAAGACACATATTTTCTCCCCAGATGTTAAAAACACAACATGCTATATCGGCAGTCAACATTATTATTACGGGAAATTTCTTGGGTTATTTTTTTTCCTCTGGTTGAAGGTCAGAAAGCCAAGGGCATTTATATCATTATCGCCGGGACGGCTCAAGTGGTTTCCTCATCAGGAAATGTTATTGCAGATTTGTCTTCTGGGGACCTGTTTGGTGAGCTGTCTACGCTGTTTCAAATTCCCTGCACAGCCACCGTCAAGACACCCACGAAGTAGGTGGTGAAGTCAACGGTCTGGTTGATACATGCTGTTGAGGCAGTTTTGCCCGAAGAGTTTCCACTGTTCCACTGTGCAGATAGCCAATGGACACATTCTTTGTACTTTAAAGGGACCATGTCAGAGAAATATTTTACTAAAATCCTTGAAATTTACTTCTGTGTTTCAGTTTTCAATTTTAGTGTGGCTGTTTTTGTCTGCATGTTTGGGCTTTCATGTTTTTAATATTAATATATATATACATATTCATCAGCAAAACTTTGATGTAATCCAAGCCACTAAACCTCAGTGTTGCACTGATTTGTGCACAAAAACAAATTGCTAGATTTTTGGAATTTCACTATAGAAAATTTCCCTTGCCTTTGGCAATTTCTCGTGTGTATGGCAATAACCCAGCAAGTAAGCCTTTCCCAGAAATGTTTTCAGAGAGCAAATTTAGATTTCAAAATGGGAACATGAAACCATGCAAACTGAACAGTGCCTTCTGGAATTTACATCACACTAACAGTGCCCTCACTTTCCTGGAAAAGTTTGGTCAATTTCGAATCTTAGAAAGTGCACTTTACAGTTCACTTATTAAACTCCAGAGCGATTCAAACATCTTCAAGGAGTTTAAACGTGCGCAGAAAGTGATTCTCAGAAAAATTTGACAGCATGCGCCATGAAAATGTAACAGTTGCTTGGCTCTACCTCTCTCATTCCTACGGACCACCGTCTTGGTAAGGTTTGGTTTTTCTGGTCCAGTCTGGTATTGGTTTTGGCTGGGTCTGGTGTGGGTCTGTAGTCTGACCTAGGTCTTGGTA